GGGAATGGTGCCACGCCTCTTGACACCACCCCGCCGGACTGCGACGATATCAACAATTCGTTGCTCAATATCCGCAACTCAAGAGACTGGCGTCGCCAACTATGAGCCTTTCTATACACAAACTCACCCACACAGACACATCACCTCCTGTACACTCATTTCCGAGGATCCTTTTTCTGTAAGATGAATGGGTCCGCAGCTGTAGTAGCGCGCCAGTTCCTCCATTTATAAGTGCACGGGGACGGAGGTGGAGGTTAAAGATATCTGGGTGCAGCTCCCCACTCCGGCCGCCACGCTATCCTCAATGTGTAGCACTTGCGTATATACAGAAATGCCGCAGCGAACACGTAGTCGAGGTGAAGAACAACCCGAAGTGAGAGGGTGCACAAGTAGAGCGTTCAGATAAAATTTTTAGATTTTATTTAAGGATGCAACAATTCCAAGGGCTGCGCTATGGTCGAGCGTTAGGGCGAATTCAGGCTACACTATAACTGGGGAGTACATTCTAGCTGTCCGTGCCAGACGAATATGCGCTGCTGAGGCAGAGATAGTATAGTGGCAAACGGTCCGGTCAAAACATGCACGTTCTCAAGGTCCAATCACGAACTGATCTCCTGAAAGTGAAGGGTGAAGGTGATAAGTCCCCAACAATTCCGTGGTTACACCACAGATAGCCGCTACCCACGATTGACCGCTCAGGGGTACCTGTCCGAAGGCGCTGTTCAGTTGCTTCCATGTCTATATCGAAACTGTGATTAAATCCATTGAAATACTGCACAAGTAGACCAGACCAGCTATCTGATGATCGAATTTCAGAGCTTCGGCAAAGGAACTTATGTTACTCGTCTTTTTCCTTGTACTTGGTGTTGTGGTCTTCGCCTCGTTGGTTTACTATGCAGAACGAGTGGAGCCGAATCCAAACAACGAATTTCAAAGCATACCGATAGGACTGTGGTGGGCGGTACGTAATCTCAATTCATTCACAGGACTAATCTTACAATCATTTTCTCTTCCGAACAATGGCATGTCGGAAATCGGAAATTTACCACATCGTCCGACTACAATGTTTTATAGATCGTGACGATGACTACCATTGGTTACGGCGACATCACACCTCACACCTACCTCGGACGTCTAATAGGTTCCATCTGTGCGTTGGCCGGTGTGCTGACCATCGCTTTGCCAGTACCTGTAAGTTTTCTCGGCGCAGTTCGGTGACGGGGAGGGGACATCTTTGCTTTTTCGCTGCTTCACTAGTTCTGGTTTACAAGTCTCACTCTGGTGAAACCTGTGAACTCTTGTGAAGCTGGAGCAAGCTCGTCAATGGTAAAACCTGTCAACTCAAGAAAAGGCTCTCTAGATGGGTCGACACGTCGATGGGAAGCAGCAAAAGTGCAAAATGCCCCCCCCCCGCCGAAGCCCCGTCTTGTCTAGTTCCTTGTTGTTCTGCTTAAGACATGTCTTACTCTAGAAGCACTTTCAGGTGATCGTCTCCAACTTCGCCATGTTCTACTCTCACACACAGGCCCGGTCGAAAATGCCGAAAAAGCGTAGAGGCGTGCTGTCGGTTGACCAAGTCAAGCAGCAACCACACCGAACAAACGGACCACGACGTCACGGGGGTGAAAACACACCACTTGTACAACAAGCCAATAATCATATCTCACCACCACATACGGTCATCTAGGGATAGTTGATTCCCAACTAGCGCACGATACGGGTCTGCAGCTTCCTACATACCGAATAGCGAGCCCATTTACCTGTCAACAGAGCAGCCAGCTATGTTTACAGACCTTATCACTGAAAGTAGCAGTTGCACAGGGAATAGTCCATGATTAACTGGTATTACCGTTATAAATAGTTTTATATGTAGTTATGATTGTACTGCATTTTTGCCAAAATCGTGATTAACCATACGAGAAGAATAGCCCAACAACTCTTCATGAACTAGCCCGCAGGAACTATAGCCTCAGTTTGGAAGAGAAATAAGGACAATAGGAACAGGATAGAATGCTGGAACAAATGGTGTAACTGGCCAAAGGTACTGCCGCAGGACAAACTTGACTAAGGAGACCTTCGGTTCACTGGTGCAATCAAGTGCATGTTTAGGCGCGGATCATATTGGATGATCCTAGCCGGCAGTTAAGATGGTCTTTTGCCTACGGACAGAACCGCGCTGCCTGTAGTCCAGGAACCATTCTACACGCTTCTCTGTGGCTGTCCATCTCCATACGATTCACTCTGACCCCGCCCAATCTCCATCGTAAACTATGACCAGTTTGCGCCTAGGCTCCCCGCGCCCGCTTACACTTGAGGTCCATTATGTTTATCTAGAGCGCGTTCACAGTTCGCGCTCTGATCGCTTGGGTCGCGCGTCTACTACCGGAGGCGCCCCACCGCCAATCGGCGTATCGCCGCAATGCCAGAATTCAATTGGACCATATTCTTGCACTGTATGAACAGGCCCAATTCTGCCATTGAGGCCATACACCAACCGGGATGCAATGCCCAATGGTCGTGGCCGCGCGACCCAACAAGTCCGATCGCGAAGTATGAACGCACTTTTAAAGGATCATTCATCCCTGTGACTACCTCTTCTACTACTTAAGCCGATGACTTCCCATACTATATCGTCATGTTAATATCAGTGATCTCCAACACACAGGCCTTTTTGTTGATATCTGTTTATTAGATGAGCATATTTCTCCATGATATTTTGCTTCAAACGTTGAAATTGTGATATTTTTCCGAATCCGTTGTTCACTGTGTCAAATCTATTGATTGATGTCGATAATTTATTATAAACGTCCTGTCTATCAACGAAATTCCACATTTTGCCAACAGATACAAACGACACCCTACAGATGGAAGATGGAAAAGTTAAAAAACGAATTGCTTGGGATAACAATAACAAATAGATCAAAAATATTACAGCGATCTGATGATATTGATCGCACAAATTCACGCCTCAGACTCTCACAATGGTGGAAACAAACACAGTTATGTACGTTTATCAACGGAACGATTCAAGGAAAGTGACTGCGTACGAATTTCTTACAAACGCAATCAGCGGAACGGTTGTATGGATGGAAATCTCGCAGAGTAAATGTCAGTGCTGCTGTGGCAGCATGTCAACCACTCCGCCATTACCCCGAAGTACGATGAAGAGAACCTGTTAGAAGGGCTAATAACAAATAAGGAACTCACCGTATTGCACTCACTCCTCTTCCTTATCCATTGGCTCTTCATCAGGCTGAATTCTTTCTTCTTCAACCATCGCATCGTCATCGTCGTTGTTCTCGGGAACCCCCTCAGGGTCAGCGCTCTTCTCATTTGGATCGGCACTTGCATCAGGACTCTTTTCGTTGTCATCCTCATCACAACTACGCGAATAACTGCGATCACGTCTTCGTTTGCTTGAAGTGGTCTGCTTAGAGTTACTAGTTTCAGCGACATTTGTACTGGATGTTGTAGTGTGTTCATGGTCACGCTCTTCGTCTGCACCAAATTCCAACTCACGCTCCAGCTCTTTCTGACGAAGCTCCATGAGGCCTAAAATTGAGGGTTAAACATTAACCTTCTTCATAACGAGTCTGAGTACCAGTAGTCAAAAACTTCCCAAGCTTACAGATTTCTTGGAAGGAGCGACGTGCCGGCAGAATGTTGAATTACAGACAATATCAATCATCACGTTGCGAGAAATTTCTCTACAATCTATTTCCAGGAAGGTGTCCATACGACACCCTGGAAACGGGTGCAGGGGGTCTCCTACAGGCTGGCGGGTGCAACCGCACTGTACAACTACACAATAGCGTACATAAATTGAATAATTCTGTGCTTTAGAACTTGAACGGTGCGGTTACACACGCCGCAATTTCACAACGCTTAATCCAGCAGTCTGCTACCCTCCTACGTCCCTTTCTCCATTCCCTAGGCACTGGTAGGCGCTGGCCTTCGCTAGATCAATATCTATGCTTTCCTAGTCGCTAGTGGACTTTGATGGAGGCTGCCGCAAAGTATGAACGCAGCCTAACTCGTTGCTATGTTGTTTCGTTCACACTTATATGGTCATAGATTTCCAACGACAGAGAGAGATACCGGTTTAGGCTCTCCTCGGCGAGGACCAAAGCACGGGAACTGCCCCATTAATGTTACCACAGCTTTGCTCATTATTGATAACTGCACGTACGATTCCTACGTCATGGATTCCGCGACAGAGGCTTGACTTGATTACAGCCCTATTTTCACTAATCGGCAACATTCCAGACTTAATAAACTCTAAGTTCATTAATACTTGATTTTAACACCTATAATAAATTAATAAGTAACTCGAAGTTGAAACAGTACTTAATAAATGTTTTATCTGAGAGAATAGAAACATATGAACTTGTGGCGCAGTGTTGTAGTGCCTAGATTGGCTCCCTACCTGATTCGTCTGAGAATGTAAGAACACTGACATGGTACGTCGGCTGGCCCTCATAAGTTTAGGCCACATTGCGTTACTAAAGTCACTAAAACTCTGAATGGAGTAGAATACGCGTCGCATCCAAAAAGGATTGCAACGGCGAAGTATTCATCTCTGCCCTGTACACAATAGCGGAGCTGGCGATCGTTGCTGTGGCTGTGCTACGACAGGAAGCAAATCAGGCGAGTACACGACGTACAGCCTCCTACGAATGCTTAGGGCGTGTCGAGGGGGGGGGGGGGGATCACGAGTTTTGGCTGACGTAGTCGTTTCCGCCAAAGTGGGGCGCACCCACCTCAACAATTGGTGGAGAACGGACTGCAGCCGCGCCACACTCAGCCCCCCCAACCGGTCAATGAAACGCCCCAGCATCCGCAGCGAACAAGACTGCAACGTGTTGTATGAACGAGACCGAGAATTAAGTTGCTGTGTTCCGTTGCGAGTAGGAAAACATTGTTGCTTAGCCTCCCCCCCCCACCCCTCCCTCTCCCCAGAATCCGCTGAGCTTCCTTTGCTCACTATGAGCAGAGATACATGTGAACGCACAAAAGACCTACCATCAATGGCCTTTTCAGATGCCTTGAGCAGCTCGAGGGAGCGGAGTGAATGCTTTGATGGCACGAAAAACAGTGTTGGCTTTGTTTGTGTCTGGATGAAGTTGCGCAGCAGTTTATAGTGCGCTTTCTTTGCCTCTGCCTAAATTTCTACGTTTTTTTTGGGAAACTAAAGAATCAACAGAGAACAGAATGGCACAACAAAACAAAGTGAAATAGGAAAAGAGCGGTCGAAACCGCCGAAGAACAAGGAAGACAGTAAGGAGAAAGCAAAGTGCAAGAAAAACTCACATATTGCATTAGCGCCTTCTTCCTCTGCAGCGCTCGCAATTCTTTCTCCTGTTCGCGACGTTCGTCAAACAGTTTCTGACGCTCGGCCATTAACTAAAATGCATCTTTTGAATTAAAATCTGTGATACCCTCCAACGTCCACCACTGATCAAAAAATTGAAAAAGGATGAAGAAATTGTACAAGTAGTAATAACCTTTTCGCGATCCTCGCGTTTTTTGTCTTCGAGACGTTTTTCTACTTCAAGCTGTTTTTCAGCCTGAACATTCAATGCTTAGATGTGCTTAACGGCTTTCTAAACTTGAAAAAAAAAGGTATTTTGCGTTCTGCTCAATGTACCTGAATTTTTTCAACATTCTGAACTTTTTTCTCGTCTCTCTG